CTCTCTCTCTCTCTCTCTCTCTCTCTCTCTCTCTCTCTCTCTCTCTCTCTCTCTCTCTCTCTCTCTCTCTCTGGGGCCATCTCTCTTTATCTTCAGTCATTGTGGTCGTAGCATGTCAGGACAACTGAAAGACTCAACGATTGACATTTGCAAAAAAGCATATCATATCGTGCAGCAGGAGAAAATGACTAGAAGAAACGACGAAAACCAACGACACGAGACAAAAATAACGATTTTGTCCCCATACACAGAACGTAACGTTGTATGAAAGGTGAACACGTTTTCAACACGTTTCAACACGTTCTCAACACATTTCAACAAGTTATCCACAAGTCTTCAACAAGTTTTCAACAAGTTGTCAACAAATGGTCAACAGATGGACAAACATCCTTTCAACAAATGGACACACCAGTTTCAGTGAGCCCAATGTTTGGTCAGCGTTGGTTTCCTTAACTTCTGGTGGAACACATGAACCCCCCCCCCCGCCAAACAATTTATAAACACAGTTCCAACGGTTTGAATGTGGTGTCCACACGTGATAATCCTGTTAGAAAATTTGCCACAATTTTTCTGTTGAAAGTTGTTAGTCCTGAAACTGCGACTCAGGTTCTGAGAGCACTTCGCATGATCCCTACTGATGTGTTTTTCGACAATGATCGTGATCCGTGTTTGAAGTCCCAACGTGGTGAAGGTGAAGGAATTGCTCGTGCCCCGCCCCAAACACGAAATTGTGCGACAGTTGTTGAGGTGCCCGATGATAGCAATCCCCCACCGCCAATTGCACGTGTTTCTCATCCGCGCGCTTACCTCTCTCAATGGTTTGATGATGCAAAGAAGGTTGGTTTGCGAAATGTCTTGAATGAGATCTTTTTCGAAATGTTTGTGAAGATTGCGACGGTCGTGAAGGATGAACGGATATGGGAAAAATTCCTTGATTGACAAATAACTAAACTCACTAATATGCGCTTGGAACAAGGATCCTCTCTGCCCTCCAATCCGTTGAATATTTCGGATGTGAAGTCCAGCTGAATGTTCCAATCCCTTCTGCACGATGAGTACATTGCGCTCTCCAATGAGGAGATTGTAAGAATGACATTTGATTTGCCCTATTGTCCGGCGGATGGGACTATTCCAGAGCCCTTCTTCAGATATGCTCGCATACAAAGTCTCATTAAAAGAATTCCTGTCGGTGTTGCTTCTTCCGCTCCTCCCTCGGCTACTGTCCGTCCACTGTCATTACTGGCACCGTCTCCTGCGAATTGTCAACGTCTTGCAGATTATGCTTCGCCATCCAATGTGGGAACGCCCATCGTCACTGCTCTACAATTGTTTCTGCTTCACCTGCCGCTATGTTTACTCCATTTCGTGCTCCTTGCGTTGTCCCCGCTCCCGTCTTACCAGCTACACAACTGCATGTCCGTATAGGAGGTTTGCCAGAAGTCACTCCTTTTACTTTTGATATTGTCGTCTATGAGTCTCTTGCATCTGTTGGTCCCAAAAAAGTGCATGCGCATCTCTCCTATCTTGATAGCTCTCACAGGTTGCAAGATATCGCGCAAGCGGCTGAGGAGTTGCATACGGATATGAACACGTGGAGGTCTGTTGATGTTGCCATCCATCTTGACTACCATCGGCAGCGACAACGTCGATTTCAAACTTTTGAGGATTATCGTCAGAAAGTGCTGCAACAAAGTTCTGTTCGTGACATGTTGCGAGAGTTTCGTTCCACTGGTGGGAGTTATTTGCTCTTACATGAGAGAGAGAGAGAGAGAGAGAGAGAGAGAGAGAGAGAGAGAGAGAGAGAGAGAAAAAAAAAAAAATAGAGGGACAACAAAAACAGATAGATAAATAGATACAGAGATACATATATAGATACATAGATAAATAGAGAGAGAGAGAGAGAGAGAGAGAGCAAATAAATATTATGTTGTTTTTTTTTAATAAAATGGAGATGGATTGTACTTCGTGCTTATTGTGCCTTCATCATTTTGCATGATCTTCTCGACTTGAATGATGTTTTTCTTTCTTTATTCTTTGCATTCTTCTTTTCTTTCTCCTCTGTCTCAAATTTGGTCTTCAATTCCGAATCTCGTTTGTGTCCCCCTTTTTGAACAGAATGGCGATTATCCCCTTGCATGCACTCTCTGGGAGTCTTCCTCTCATTTGAATCTCATTGTATATCTCAGTCAAATTATCACCTAACACCTCCTAGTGCTCCCTATAGAACTCCACAGGAAACCCATCATTTCCCAGGGTCTTCCCGCTTGCCATTGCTCTGAGTGCTTCTCCCGCCTCTTCTTTTGTGATCGGTCTGTCTAGATCTAGGCGCCCTTGTCTTGAGAGCTTCACTGTAGTGTTGTCTTAGTGTGTGGAACCCTGTGAGAGATTTGTGTCTGGCCCCTCCCTTGGTCTTCTTGACGTCATGATGCCCTTGTACTAAGACGTTGCATACTTGCGTATGTCCTTCGGTGGGGTGGTCACTGGTTCGCTTGCTTTGAAGGGATGCTTCAGTTCCTTCATTGTGGGTCCTGACCTGGCCGGTGTCAGCCTTTGGAAAACGTCCCTAGTCATCCTGTCGTAGACCACCTATCCTTTTACCTTCGTCCTCTCTGCCCAAAGCTCTGACTTCTCTTGTTGTCTCTGGTCCCAATCTGCCAATCTTTTGGCTTTCTCTTTTTCCCAGGTCAACTCATAAATAGGATGTTGTTTCATCCTATGTTTCGCCTGTTGGACCTTCTTCCAACATCTCTTGTCCTCCCAATTCCTGTTTGTGCTAAGATCCGAGAGAACACATTTAGAAGGTTACTCAGGATTCTAGTACCCACTTCCCGCCAGTCTGCCAGCATGGCGAACCTCTCCTTTTGCATACCCACCGCTTCCAATAGGCATGTGTCCAGTCTGTCAAGTTTTTATCCCGGAGATTCAAGACATTTAATTTAAAATAGCCTCTTCCCCTTGGATTTTTCAGGCCAAAGTTGAAGACTCCTGCCACTGGTTTACGGTCTGAAATCGGATTGATGCACTCCGAAACGTTGATAGTTTCTTTCACGAGTGCAACCGTCGGTGAGCAGGTAGCCTAAACGCCTGCCTTTACCCTGGTGTGAGAACCAAGTGTATCCATCCTCCGTTGGATGTAAGTCCCTGTAGGCATCGTGCAAGTCGAGATCTGTCATAAAGTCCACGAATGCCAAGATGTTCTTCGGACAACCGTTTGCTACGTGGCTTGGGGAAGAATCCAGTACCATGTTCCAATCTCCCCTAGTCACTATCTCATTCACATCTGGTAAGGATACTCTTAGCTCGTCTAGAAACCCTCGCCTCTCCTTCCTTTCCACTGGAGCGTACACTGTTGCTACCGCCCATCTAAAGGTTCCTTGCACCAGGACAAACCACGCCCATCTGCCCCACAAGTCTAGTAATCTTCAATAATTACATCCAAGCCACGATGAATCTATATCCCAACTCCTCCCTTTGTTCCCCTAGTTGCAGGCCAGATTTGTGGGCCGTCCCACCATCTCCCCAATTCCTCTATCCTCTCGTTATTTAGTTTCGTGTTTTGAAAACAAATTATTGAAATCCTATTCTCGTGCATCCAGGACTTCGCCCTCGCCCCCTTGCTTCTCCTTGAAGTGTCCCCAAATCCCTGTAAGTTCCACTTGAAGATTTTTATATTAACCATTCCTGCTGCTTGCTCCCTGGTGTGATTGGATGTGGGCTTGAGAAGTCGAATCTCCGGTCCAACGACAAAGTGTCTCCTTCATAAAATTGGAGTCCAGCTTCTTCTCTTTTGGAATCCTAATCT